GTGTGTGTGTGTGTGTGTGTGTGTGTGTGTCTGTGTGTGTGTCTGTGTGTGTGTGTGTGTCTGTGTGTGTGTGTGTGTGTGTGTCTGTGTGTGTGTGTGTCTGTAGGTCGCATAACTCATGAACCGATACACAGAAAAACACCAAATTTTAAACTTAAGCTTTGTTCCAACGTCTTATGAGCTGATTAGATTTTGAGCAGAGTCGGAACATCTGGGGGGGTACTTTATAGGTGGTCATTTTTATATTTTATGGAATATATCTGTTATTTACGTTTGGAGAAAAAAATTCTTCAAATAAAAGTTACTTCTTATATAATTATCTATAATATTTGTTTTATACAAAATTTTCCTAAAATGGTCCGTATTCGAGAAATTTAACAAAATGTAAAAAAAATATTTTTTTATAAAAATTGTTCAAATAAAAGTTGTTTGTTATATAATGCTCTATAATTTTTATTCTATACATAATTTCTCTAAAATGGACCGTATTCGAGATATTTGAGAAAATGTGTAAATTTCGAATTTTGAAGAAAACTCAAAAACGGATAAAGAAAAAAACATTAAATTTTAAACTTAAGGTTTATTTCGGCCTGACGTAAAATGATTAGATTTTGGACAAAGTCGGAACATCTAGGGGGGTACTTTATGGGAGGCCGTTTTTATATTTTATGGAATATATCTGTTATTTATGTTTGGAGAAGAAAATTGTTCAAATAAAAGTTACTTCTAATATTATTATCTATAATTTTTGTTTTTTGTCAAAATTTCCTGAAATGGTCCGTATTCGAGAAATTTGACAAAATGTGCAAAATTCTGATTTTTATGAAAATTGTTGAACTTAAAGTTGTTTGCGATATCGATCTCTATAATTTTTGTTATAACATGATTTTTCTAAAATGGACCGTAATGGAAAAATTGTAGGAAATGTGGTAAATTTAAATTTTCAGTATTTTAATTTTCAATGAATATCTATAGAAAAATATTTCGAGGTAGATGTATGTGGAAAATGTATATATTTATTTTATCCTCTAAACAGTTATGGAGGTGCTGCAATAGGTTGTACAAAATAACCGGAAAAAGCCTGTAATAACTAGATAGGAAAGTCATGTGTTGGACACATCAGATTTTTTGAATAGATAAACATAATAGAAAAAATATTTATTATTGTAATAGATACATAAATAAGAAATGCTAAATATTATAGGACTAATAATAAAACTTTCAATTCCCAAGGAAGTATAAAGAGTGTTTCAAAAAGCATATGCACTACCTAATAGGGTGATTCCTTACCCTAAAATAAGAAAAATAGTTTCTGTCAACAGATGCTTTGTTTCAAAAAAACAGGGTACTACAATTTTACAATCAGTAAAAAAAATCATAGGGAAATTTGGAAAACAATCAACAGCATCTAAAGCCAATAAAGCGTACTATATTTTTTACGGATTTGTTTTAAGCTTGATATTTAACAGAATTTGATAAAATTGCACCTCCTTACCGAAGCAGAAACTCAAAAAATTTTAAACATTGCTATTATTTATTTAAATATTTAATTGTGTTATCAAAAAATTAAAAGTCAGGGTCGTACATATTTATAAAAAAAGATTGAAGCGCTCGTTCGCACGCGAGGTCATGGTAAATCTGTTTACATCTTTTTATTGCCAAAACTTTTTTAGATAGATACATTGTACAAAGAAAATTTTATTCACATTGTTTAAGCCGTTTCATATTTTAAAAAACCGAATATAATTAAAAATTTTGACATCCCTATTTTTGAAATAAAGCATCTGCGGGCCCATGTTGATAGGAACTATTTATTTTATATTTAAGTAAGAAATTACCCCACAAATAATGGTACATGTTTTTTGAAACACACTTTATAGTTAAATGTAACAAAAATGTATATTACCAGCATACTACAATACAGTTTCTTTGTAACAAAGTGAATATTTTAAAATGTAGGCTTAAGTTTATACAATTTTATTACATGATAATGTAAAACATTTAAAATAGCGAAATTATAAAATACAAATACTTTGTTAGAATGAAACCTTCTTTATTAAAAATTAATAATTAGAAAATATATGGTATTTTAACTTAAATATACACACATAAATTATTGTGATATCATTTTTTAAATGGACTCTACACACTGAAGACCGATGAAAATAGTTTTCTTAAGAGCGGTCAGTTTTCCAAATTTTTTGAAATCGATAATTTATATATTTTTTTTAAAGTACGACTTTGTTTACTTACTAATGATGATATGTTATTCCTATACCTCCATGTTTTCTCAATATGATTTTTTGGTTCCTACATGATCTAGACGTGGTCAATCACGCAATGCACAAGATAACATAATGCCCTTAAGATATTTTAACCGTATAAAAAATAAAACGAACACACTAAATATCGAAAAATTAAGTTCACACTTTAAAAGCTGTAAGTCAATGTTACAAATGGGATTAAGATAGAAATAATATGGCGCACGTTATACCGTTTTGGAACACGCAAAGTGAGTCTTCTCTCTTAACTACCTACATGGTTATTTTGAAAGATCCATAGCACTCCATACAATACAATGCCCATACTGTTGTTGGGTTTTATAAAAGAATACTTTGATAATCTCGTCCATAGATTGATAATGTACTTTTAGGTCAAAATGATGAAAAAATCGGCAAATTTGATTTAATTAGTATTGTACATTTATTAAATATTAGAGATAATATTTCTTTTCACTTTATCATTGTTTCCTAACATTATACTACGGTTAATAACTTAGGTGATCAAAGCAGAAGGTAAAATTTCATTTGTATCGATTTTTAATTTTTAGGCGACTAAAATATGACAGAAACTTGTGAAGAAAATAAACACTGAAGATGGTGTTGTGCCGAAAGTGCTTTGAATTTTATATTTAACAATTTTGCTTGAAATACAGCACGTGCACACAGCTGCTAACCTCTTTTGGTTTTTCTAATCATTCATAATTATTGTGTAAATAAATATTCCAATATTCAACAATTTTTTCAGATGAAACTTTTTTTAATTTTCTATCGGTAGTTAAAATTCTCTCGAAAACTGATTCAGGAATTTATTTTAACTTTTATTAATAATACTCGCTAACCTTTTTTAAGTAAGATTGTCTCAAAACGTAAACAAGAACAAAGAATTAGTTGTAAAAGTGAACTTATTATTAATAATAAACAATGTGAACAACCCTCCAAAGTTTTGAAAGTAGAGTTAAAAATTTAGGTCCCAAAGAAAAAAGTTTTATTTTAATAATAGAGAGCAAAAAATTGGAACTTGTAAGCCAGAAAAAGCTTCTAGTGTTTCCAGAAATGAAAGCAAAAGAGCATTTTTCTACGATCACTATCCAAAGTAGGCTTTTGCGATTTGAAATCCAACCGCTAAGTTGACGTTTTCCGCGAGCTGACATATAGGCTTCTTTTATGCACGCGTTTTTTGTCGCTTGTCGCGGGGCGACAAAAAAAGCGAGGTTTTCTAAAATGTGCGCTTTTATGCATCGACGTCAATCAGCCGCTCGCCGCCTGTGTCGCGGCGTACTGAAATCCTGTCGCGTGGAATTACAAAACGCGTCGCGACAGGCGTTTCAAAAGTACATTGATTTCAATTGGTGCTTTTATGCAGCGTGTTTATTATCGTTTGTCGTTGTCATTTTGAACAGTCAGTTTGCAGAGTGGTGTTGATGTGTGAAGAAGTACCGTGGAAAATTTGGACGTTGAATTTTTTATTGACGCAGTAAAAGAAAAAACATGTTTGTGGGATTCATCATCAGAAAATTACAAAAACATTCAATTAAAAAGAGATGCGTGGAAGGAAATTAGCGAAATCATTATTCCCGAATTCAGTAAAAAAACTGAAAAAGAAAAGCAGGAAATTGGTAAGCATGTATTTTATTAGTCTGCTCGCTAGGGTTGTATTTTAACAACGAATTCTATATCTTTTCATTTATCAGCAGTATCATCTATTAGTACAATATAAAAGTATATACATAAAATTATATTTTGGTGTCCTGCCATGAAACAGCCCCTGCAGGGCTGCTAAAATGGTCGGCGAAAGCATCTCTATATTTGTAAGCAGACTTACGTCCACGGTTTTCTTGTTGGTACCTTTGAATATCATATAAACCTGTTATTGTTAAAGTATCCTCAAATTTGAAGACATCCCTTACGCGAACAAAATTGTGTAATGCGCAACATGCTTTTATGATTGCTACTGCGGTTTCCTTAGATACATTCATGGCTCGGTGGAATATACGCCACTTGCTACTTAAAATACCAAAGGAACACTCTACCCCTTGCTCTAGACCAGTGCTCCGCAACCGGTGTGCCGCGGCACACTGGTGTGCCGTAAGCCGACTTGAGGTGTGCCGCTCTTGCAGACAATACGAATCAGATTCGTATTGTAGCGAGACCCGCGAAAAATAAAGCAATCTGACAACAGCGCCGATGGTAAACGTCTATCCGTCTATCGGCGCGGCGCGGCGGCTTGATTCTCGAAGGCGACTAAACTAGAAAGATCCGTGCCATTCGAGGCGCGACTCGATGTTTTCCTGAACATCGCCACTGCCTATATAAGCGCGCCTGTCGTCGCTCAGAGACTCAGAGAGAGTCGAATAGTCAAGTGAATCAGATAAATACGCGGGCAAACAAATAAATCGTAGAGTGAAATAAATAGTGAATTGCTATATAAATAAATTCTTGTGCCTTATAAATAAGTGAACTGGACTAAGTTTTGTTGCAGTATCTACTTTTATAAATAACTATAGTGCTTCAAATATGGATAAATTTTTGCTGAAATCACGAGCAGATGACGAAGAACCTAGCACAAGCTCCAGCATAAGTGCTGCAAAAAGAGCAAAAAAGGTGCTGAAAAGGAAGTACAATCAAGACTACCTTCGATATGGTTTCACTTGGTGTGGCGACGAAGCGGCTCCAAAGCCTGAATGCGTCATTTGCGGTGAACAGTTGTCAAATGAAGCAATGGTACCCAGCAAACTAAACCGTCATTTGATCACAAATCATCCCAGTTGCGTTAAAAAAGACATTCAATTTTTCCAACGGCGCTTGGATCAAAATAAGAAACAAAAGCAGTTTATGAAATCGGCGGTTACGGTTTCTGAAAAGGCATTAGAAGCAAGCTACCTTGTTGCAAAATTAATTGCACAACAAAAAAAACCGCACACTATCGGTGAAACGCTTATTAAACCAGCATGCATGGAAATTGTTAGACTTATGCTTGGGCCAAACGAAGTTAAGGACGTGAGTAAAGTTTCTTTGTCGGCCGATACTGTTAAAAGACGTATCCAAGATATGTCAAGTGATATTTTGGGAACACTAATTAAAAAAATCATTTCGGCTGGAATTTTTGCGCTTCAAATCGACGAATCAACCGATATTAAAAATAAAGCACAACTGATGGCTATTGTACGTTTCGTTGACGAGGACTCTATTAAAGAACATTATTTATTTTGTAAGGAGGTTCCAGAGAGAACTACCGGTGAACAAATTTTCCAAGTAACTGATAATTTTTTTAAAATACATAATATTCAGTGGACCAATTGCGTTGCTATTTGTACAGATGGTGCTGCTGCAATGATGGGCAGTAAGAAAGGTTTTGTATCTTGTGTAAAACAAAAAAATCCGTCAATACAAATTACACATTGCTGCATACATCGAGAAGCATTGATGGTCAAAAATTTGCCCGAACAGCTTTCGATCACAATGAATGAATGTATTAAGATCATAAACATAATTAAATCGAGAGCCTTAAATTCGCGAATCTTTGGAATACTCTGTGAAGAAATGGGAAGCGAACATGAATCCTTACTGTTTTATACAGAAGTTCGTTGGTTATCCCGGGGAAAAGTTTTAGCTCGACTGTTTGAACTTCGCTACGAAGTGCGTGAGTTTCTTTCAAGTCAAGATATGTACGATCTATGCCAGCACCTTCATGATGAATACTGGATAGCCAAACTTGCATACATGGCGGATATATTCGAACATCTGAATGAACTTAATAAAAAAATGCAAGGACGGAATGAAAATATATTGACGTGCTCCGATAAATTACAAGGGTTCAAAAAGAAACTTGAACTTTGGCAGGAACAGTTGCAAAAAGGATGTCTAGAAATGTATCACAGGACCAACCACAGTACGATCGAAAACAAGCAGCTGATTGTGGATTTGGCCCAACAACATTTAAGTATGCTTCAACAAAAATTTGAATACTATTTCCATTCTATCAACACGGAACAATACAATTGGATTCGAAATCCTTTCGCAACCAATGCAATAAGTTCCACGGAAGCACTGCCATTGCAAATTCGAGAGGAGTTCACAGAATTAAGTAATGATATGACCCTAAAACTTAAATTCGACGAAGTTCCGTTAGATGTTTTCTGGATTTCCATCAAGACAGAATATCCACGCATCACCGACAAGGCCATCTTCACACTACTTCCGTTTTCCACAACATATTTATGTGAGCAAAGTTTTTCAACGCTTGTATTAATTAAAAATGATAAACGGTCATGCTTAAAAGATCTTGACCAAGAAATGAGAGTTGCGCTGTCTAAAATTGAGCCGAATATAAAACTTTTGTGTTCAACGAAACAAGCGCAGGTATCACATTAATCAGTCATCATCATGTCAAAATATTTATTACTATTGACGTGTCAACAGAAGTAAATTTAGTATACCTACCTGTCCTACCTAGTATTTAGTATAGTTCTCATGTATGTACCTATTTGTATTTTTCATTCTATCTGAATAATAAAAAAAAATAAAAAAAAAATATGTATTATGTCCTGAGTGAAAATTTTGATGCCCCAAATCTGAAAGGGGCTTCTTCACATTTTAAAACAATAAAAAAAACTAAGGTAGTTTGGACATCCATAAATAATTAGTATACATGGAGTGAACTGACCCCCGACCTAGCTACGCCACTGCTATAAATATATTTTAGATTTTGGTGTGCCACGAAATTCTAGGGAGCAGTTTGGTGTGCCTCAGATGAGGAAAGGTTGCGGAGCACTGCTCTAGACAAACGGTAGTTGAAAATTCTTCTTTTTTTTTTGTTAATCCTATTCCAGGATAAGGTCGCATTAACTTATTTGTCAGTCCAAAAGCCTCATCGCCAACGATTACATATTATGGCAGTGTTGTACCTGCTACTAACTGTGATTTTGGAATATTTAAGGTACCTCCTTCTAATTTTGTGAACAAGGAACAGTTTCTAAATATTGAAAAATCTGATTCTTTACCATAGGAGCCAATATCTGTATATCTAAAGCAAAAGTTGCTGTCTGCAACAACTAGCCAAACAATAGAGAAGTAGTTCTTGTAATTATAATAAAGTGATCCGCTATGTACCGGCGCGATTATCAACTGCACCAATACATTGTGGAAAATTAGTACGATCGTTAAAATCTTTGGCAATTTCATGCCAATACTGTTCAGTTAGTGCTAGAAACTGTTAGACTTGCTGTTGTAATTCCCACTCGGTAGATGTAATGCAAATCTGTGTATGTACATCCTGTAGCCAAATATCTGTAAAAGAAATTAATAAATCAGGTTCATTAATATAAAATCCGGTAATTAGATTCCAATTGAAGTTAATTTTAAAACTAATTAGTTCTTTTTTTTTTAGGTAAAGCAGTTCAACTTAAGTGGAAAAATTTGAGAGACGCTTTTGTTCGTCATAGACGTCAGAAGTCACAAAAATATGGAGACAAAGCTAAACCTGCAAAAACATACATCTATGCTAATCAATTACAGTTTTTAAGGAAGGTGACTAATTCTTGTTAGACAGAAACTTCACTACCAAATACATTACAAGAGAGTCAAGGTGATCTCGATCTATCACATGACTATGATGATACGCAAGACAGACAATTAGTAGATGCCAAGGGGAAATCCCAAACCCAAGTTACTCCTAGTAGAAGTACTCAGTTTAGAAGAAATAAATCTGCTTCAGAAAGTAAATGAATAAATTATATGGACTCCCAGATCAAGCAACCATCACCAGTGATACAAAACCAACCAAAAGAAACCGATGACTTGGCCTTCTTTAGATGATTACAAACGAGTTTAGATACACTCACTCCCAATAAACAATTAAACTTCCGAATAGATGTGATGCAATTGTTAACTCACTACACAAACAGAAAACCAAACCAAGATACACCTAATTTTTCAAATTTTACTCCCGCTTATCAACAGGCACAGCAATATCCAGTTATGGCCAATTTTCCTTATACAAGTTTCAATACGCCAATGCCTGCACAAACATCATATTCTACAGTATCACCTGGGCCGTCACGTACGCCCTATTGTGCAGTACTACCTGGGTCCTCACACACATCATGTTCCACAGTATCACCGGAGCTCATATTTTCTCCATTCAATAGTAGTCGCAGTACTCGCAGTTGCAGAAATGCTATAGAGAGTTTGGCCATACCAGAAAATTCTCTGATAGAATCAGATGCTTCCATTATGTCCGAAGCCGAATCGATATTATCATTGTTTTAAACAAATGTGTATCTACACATTAACACTATCATTATACTTATTTTCTCAATAATGGTCTTTTGTTTGTACTTACCTCAATGTCATTGATAACATTTCCCCTGGTTCAAACGCAAATCCCCGTACCAACTCCACATTTGTAATAAAAGTGCTTTTTAGCTTTTCACATAGCTCATTAAATGAGCCTGTCGACATACGGTAATAATTGAAGAATTTCTGCCTGTTGAGTCTTAATTCTGCATGAAGTGTATAATATGCGCCTCTGAGAAGTCTTGCACTATTAATTGGATGCACATCCCAACATCTCTGGCATCTTTTTTCAATGACATATTTATATATCAAATACGTAAAAACACACGGATCCATTTTTAATCACTGCCGTTGTAAAACTGATCAAATTTGAATGCGGCACGCGACAAGAAACGCTTGGATATTGTTTCATAAAATAACGCCGCGTTTCTTGTCGCCCCGCGACTAGAGACAAAAAACGCGTGCATAAAAGAGGCATTAGTAACAGCTTTGTCGCTCGCTGAGACAAATTTTTAGTTTTTTTACCTATTTCTTAAAAAAGTGTAATCGTAGAAAATTCTTGTGTGCATTTTGAACAAAAAGTTCATTGTCACTTTTTGTCTTAAGCGGCAAAGTATCACGTTTCGCTCTTAATACACAAATAGCTATTTTCTCTAAACTACTACTAAACTACCATTAATTTAACTTAAATTTGTTGTTTTTTAATATTGAGTACTTAATATGTATTTAATAAATATTTGAATTCAACTTACTTTTGCAAGCAACGTGGATACGAAGTACAAAAAATATTCATGTGGCATAGAAACCCTTCTTAAATAAAACATTCAATTTTAGCAAGAACCAAGTATTGCCTGGACATTCGAAATACAAGTTAATATAAAAATATTTTTATTAAGCCTCAAACTGAGGATGAACTCAGTTTATTATAGTATTCCTAAGAAATAACAATCGGAATTAGAATAAAAATATTGAAAACTACTACCTAAGGATTATGTCCATCTATAACGTGTATTTGTTCCACAGACGTCGTATCTTCTATTCTGTGGCTACCCGAAATGAAATATATGACTTGCCAATATCGAAGTCAACCCTTTCGCCTAAAGTATGAGTAGCAAGGATTAAATTACTATTACAGATTTCTACGGTATCAGCAGATGTTGAGTCGCTTCAAGAAGTGCTTACGCACACTTATGAGGCACTCGAGACAAGGAATGATATGGCTTATGGCTTACTCAGTGTACAGATAATCCGTATGCCAATATGCTACAGAAATATATATAATATTATGTGCACGATGAAGCTTGAAATAATTTGTTACAAAAAAGATTTCTGACCGTTTTCAACTCTAGAGATCTGTGAAAGTAGAAGAAGAAAACAAAACAAAGTAAGAAGGCAATAGAATATCGTAACGGCAATAAATGGAACTCGTTTTTAACCTGACAGAATTCAAAAGAGCAATCGTGAAATAAGTTTATTCCAGATTTTAGCAAGTGAAAAATACAGAGTGTTGCGTATAAGTATAGACACAGAACAGGTGCGTGTTGGGCACCTTAAAATATGATGATTTAACGCAATTTACCACTATACCAAGTTGTACCCCGAAAGTGTTACGGAAGCCTAAAGTGGGGCCAAGTTTACTTCATGTTTCTTATGTAGATATTATTATTAATATTAGTTTTAATTGTGACCATATTCGCGTTCACTGAGTTGCATTAGCGCAGAACCACTCAAGGCCAACCAGTTTCTGGCACGTAGACGTGCATATCTTTTCTTTGAACAGTAAACAGTCAGATCGTTTTGGACTTCGAGAGAAGTCAGCCGGGTCTCAACACAAAACTCGATGGCAGTTATTCTTTTGTAAATACATAAGTTCTCGGAGCAAATATACTAAAATTATAATAAATAATAAGTAATGTTAACCCTAAGGCAGTGTTAGGCCTTTAGGTGTTTGTAGATAAAGTGTAGTGTAAATATGTAAAATTTAAAAGTTGTGCAACGTTTTACACAATAAATTGTTTTTTATGAATTTGCTGGCATTTTATTATCCGTATAAAAATATTTGCAGCTAGCATCTAAAAGAGACAGTCCACTTGGTAAGCGAGTCTTACAAACGTATTCATAATTTGTCCTGGGTTTAACTTTTGGTAAACTACAAATAAACCAATTGTGTTATCATTTAAATGAATTTTATTGAAGTAACTAGCTACTTGTTATTGAGAAATACATGGCAAACTAAAGTTTCAAGTGATTTTTATAGTAATGCATTAATTAGTTTTTCTCGTTTTTCTCGAAAAATATTAGGTTTTTAAAAAATAAAAAGTGAAAAAAGTTTTAAAATAAAATTTTGCATTAAACCAAATTAAAATTTTACAAATCGTTTACCTCAAAATACCCCCTTAAAATATTTTAATTAACTCTTATTCACCTCCAAATTAAGACCCATAAAGCGCTAAAATAATTTACATAATATAGATTTTTTAAGTTAAACGGTTACAGAGATATTAATTTTTTTCGAAATGTATGGCCCCCACTTTAGGCTTCCGTAACGACTTAGGGGTACAACTTGGTATGGAGGTAAATTTCATTAAATCATATTTTGGGGTGCCCAACACACACGTGTTCTGTGTCGGTACTTATGTGGAATACCCTGTATAACTGGAGTCAAGTTTGAACAATAATGATTTATTACATTTATAGAAAATCAAAATTCGATTATCAAAAGCAATGTAAACGAATCACATGCTATTAAAACGAAGGATAGAAAATTGAATATTCAATAAATTAATTTTATTGTTATTGCTTGTTTATTTCATATTATTTACTTTAATACAAATAAAAAATCGGTAAAGTATTTTACCCAGAACTTCACTAGATATAGAAATTATAGAAACAGGGAACTCTTTAGCACTTAAATTTTAATAATTTAAAATTAAAACCACCAAACCAAAAACCCTTTTTAACATTTCTCTCTCCATCTATCTTCCTCTTGATTCCACCCGAATTCTCACTTCGCGTCCATTTAAGGAGGACTTTTTTTAATTAAATACGATTTCTTCCAGCGCTATTTTAAATTTTTAGGAACTTGTTTAGAATCTGTAACTTTAGGCTTCTAAAATTCCCAGTTGCCAATTTTAGTCGAAGTCTGCCAACTTTTAAAAATAATTTTTATTGTAAAAACTGCTCACCATGTATATAACTGATCGTAAAAATAACTGGTTTTAATCCAGAAAGGAACCTTATCTCCATACAAAATTTGAAGTTTTTCAATGAAGCCGTTCTTGAGATATTACGCCAAAATACAGACAGACAGACAGACCGACGGAATGGGGAAACATATTTTTCGTAATCTCTTGACCCTGAAACGTGAATATATAAAATAATTTTGGAAGGTGACTTTCACGATTACAATACTTTTCATTTATAGAGGGAAGTAAAAAAGTCCAATACATTTTTTTTGATAAAGTTATTAGTTAAGAAGATTATAGTCAATAAATATAACCATCAAATGAAACGCTACAAATTAAATAACGTATCGAAATAAATATAGGAGCCCTTTATCAGATTCACACTCCGCACTTGGCTTGGCAATTTAAACGTTAACTAAATGTTAAATTAAAATGCCAAAACGCCATTACTATTGTTAAGAGTGAGATTATAGGCCTTTTTGACTGACCCTAAGGTCCACTTTTAGCGGTAACCACGAGTTATATAGAGGGGCCCAATTTGTATTTAAATTGAAGTCTAGATAACACACGACTAGGGGGTTAAGTTCAGACGGGATGGGCCTAAGAAACCCTAACTTCCTGACGGTAATTCAGAGGGCGGGGAAAGGGTTTGTCCTACAGGGACTCTTCCCTTTGGCAGTATATTCCTCTCTCAGAGACCTGACTAAGCCAATACCCCCTCCTTTGAATGACCGTAAGTTATCATAAACCAAATACATTAAAACAACAAACGTAAAACAAATAACTATAGTTTATTCAACAAATATAAAAACACCTAGAATTGTTTCCGCAATCCAGTAGTCTTTGCTGACTACACAAAACTATTACTGCTTAATACTGTCTATTTACATAAGTATTATATTCTATCCGTTGGGCTGCAGGGCTGGCTGAAGCACACGTTAATTTTACCACTGTATGGCTTTAAAAAAACTAACCGCGATTTCGCTTGACCGACCCGTGATTCTACTTTCCGACACAAAAAAGAAATCCACTTATTTCGAATGATTACGACTGCTTGTCAACAAAAACCAAAAGGAACTCCTCGAAAATTAACTTGTAATTTTCCAAGAATGCTTTTGTTGATCTTTTTTGACCCTGTACTTTAATATTATGATTTAATAAAACCATATCCAACTACAGGTTTTATTATTTTATCGAAGATCTATTTAGCACGCCTGCCCTTGGACAAAACTTTACAAATCATAACATACCTATTCACAGGGTGTTTTATTTATTCGTAACACTATAATATGTTTAAAATTAGAGTAAATCATATAATAATTGGCTTTGTTGTATTATATAAATCTAATTAAATCTAAAATTAGAAAGAAATATACAATTTTTTTTATAGTACATAAAAGTTGTATTATCAAATCATTATAAAGTTAACAGTTTTTTAATCCTCTTGTCATAATTTAAAAGAAAATTTCTATTTTGTAAATAAGTATGATTGTCTCTTTGTACTAATCATAAGCATTATTGGCACAGAAGTAATAGCACATAAATGCAAACTAGTTAATTTGTAAATGTTAAATAAAATTTTGAAAATATAAATTTTTCTCATTACAACTGAAATAGTATTGACCTTTAAAAATTAGTCCATTTCGGCACAGCCTAATGTACATTCTACCAAATTTACTTTATATTTCTGGTAAATTGTAAAATATTATCAAAGTATCTTGTAACGGTTCCAAGAATCAAAAAGTTGGAATAACCTTTGTATTAGGTCTTTATACGCAAAGTAATTCAATGCGCAAGGTCCAACATCTGACTTGATTAATTATATTTCTTATTTTTAAATTACATTTTAATAACATTGACTTAAAGTTTGAAACCAGTAATTGCATTATTAATTATTCAAAGTTTATTAATTATTTTAATATATTTAGACAATACTAAATACTGACCTGAATAAATGAAGCGTACCCTTA